TGACACCCGCTGCATCATTAGAGCACCGGCTTGGTTGGGCTTTGATTCTTTACAGGAGATTATTTTGCATCTCATGATACTCGCCTTCAGCATATCGTACTTGAAGGCCTTTCCCACTGCCGTCTTTCCTGCTTTCCCACGGACCTCATTGGGTAAGGTATTCAAAGCGGGATTAGTGTTTATTGACTTCGCAACGCTTGTTGAATTTGAAATGCTGCACTATAAAACTTTGTTAAAATAGCTGTTTGAGGACATTTTCTTAAACACACCTTTCTGTCTGTGGTGGTGAATTTTCCATAAAGGAATGTGGTCTTCAATTGCAGGAAATTGACTCCGCCTTGATAACGCTACCTTGAATGAATTCATCCTTCGAGTTGGGGTGAAAATGCCTGCCTTAACTAAACTACCAGAAAGCTAGTGCTCAATTCGGGAGCAGCGTGTTGGTTTAAACCTCAAACCATGGTAATTAAGCGGGACAGTAGAGTGCTGATAACCACTGTTAAACTGCTTGCACGATTTTCGTATTCAAAGCACTCACGGTTGTATGCAGTCCTTTTCCTCCGCAGCTCAATGATCCCTTTGTCACTAGACAATGCGTTCAGCATCCACTAAGAAGTAGTAGAACTCCTTTGCTGTGATTTTGATTGATTGATGAGGCATCGGGACTTCTTACTGGTGGCTTGTAGTGCAGCAGATTCCTACACGTACTTGCTCTTTTAAGTTGCGCAGTGTTTACATGCCTCATTTTTTGTCAAGGTAGGGAATTTATCGTTACAACTCCATTCTATGCGTTACAGTTATTTTGATTTGAGAAGTTTAGCCTGTTATTCTTTCAATTGACTGCATTTTTTGCTGCCTCTACTGGAATATTAATTCAACTGTTTTGTAGATGCCTCAATGTTCTTTTGATGTACAGTAAAGTGGCAGATTTATTTGTAATTACTCGTTAGTAAAATCTACTTTGTCAAATCCGCGGGTTCGGGTTTTGGGTAATTTTTGATAAGAAACTCCATTAATCACCACCCCTTTATGCATGCAAGGCATATTTTGCACCACACTAGTGCTTGTTGCCAATGCATCGCGCTTTGTCAAGCACTGTTCTGCGTTGTTTTCGTACCACAGTGGTTCCTTTATGCAGCTGGTCGTAGAGTGTGGACTCCCAGTGTTTTCTGTCGTCCCTTTAGAGACATTTGCCCTTAAGGCCGATTCTGTGAGGTGTTTATCGTCGAGACCCTGATATTGGAATGGCGGGTGTGCTTTGCAGGGGCGCAATGTCGTGGCATGATTGACACACCTATTTTATTCGCAGTGGCTCGGCAACTACTAGATAATTGTGGGTTTTGGGGACTTCGTCTCCTGCCTGGTGTCACGGCTCCACGGTCAGAGGTCATACATGATTTTCGCTCGTGATTCAGTCGCGGTGGTGTGGAAACTGTTGGATAATCGCGAGTTTTGGAGAAGTTGGCACCTTACCTTGGCTTCGGCAACATGATCAACACGTAGGGGTGCGTTCCACTAGTCCTGGTCATGACAATGATTGGCTCGTTGGCTTTGCGCGTATATGCGTGTACATATATAAAGATGGGATGCATTTTCAGTGTATCAATGCGTAACTAAGTCTACCCTCCTGGACATTGTGGTGGTTGAGGCTGATATGGACGGAGAGTGGGAAGTGCGGAGTTTTATTTTATACCCTACCAGTGCTTCAAGCGTTGCTTTTTTCAGTCATTTTTTCTTTAGGACCGGTGGTATTGTTAATAATCGTGGCAACAAAGGCTGTGCGTGAGATAGGATTCGTTAATTTTGGCCTTCTGTTTACCATTCTACCGGTTCCGGATTTATTTCCTTAAAAATTATTCTGGTTTTCCTCAGTGCATAGGTGAGGCAGCTCATCTTTATTTAATTCTGATTTTGTTGTGCAACATGCTTATTTGGAACCCATGGCGTCAGATACTTCTTCTTGGAGACAGGTGGAAATAGTGGACCTTCTTTTTCACCTCAGAATTTTCAATGTGTATTCTTATTTTGCCTTAATACTCCCCCCTCGGTGGGTGCGTAAGGCAGTACTTTCTTTACGCATGTGGCAGCAAAGTGTGTATTCTGAGATGTTTCCTTCAGCCGTTGAGTCTAAATTTCACATTGCTTCCTCTCATCAGTACTTCATTTTTAATTCAGATGCATGGTGTGTTTGGCTGGACGTGGATTCCTCTATGCCTTCAAGGCAGTGGCGTTCTTTATTCCATTTCTTCAGTGCCACAACAGGTAGGCATATGTAAGGCAGTTCCCTTGAAAATCCTGAAGGCAAAGTCTGAGTAGGTTATCCAAAAGTGAAGATGGGAGCTACTTTTTGCAGTCTTGCCATTGTTAACTTCTCTTAACATAAGGTACTGCTTGTCTGTAATACTAGTCCATCGCCGTAAGTGTTTCGTAGATACTGCCACAAAACCAGCCCCTCTTGTAGGCTGAATTATTGCCGTGATAAGTCGTGGCTGTGTGTAAATGAATTCAGTGACTTTGTTGAATTACTTTGCTATTATTTTCAAAGGCGTTAGTTCATCTGCACTGAACGTGGCATCGTACTTCAAGGAGTCAGGGACTGCCTTATCTGAGGCGACTTGCAATTCACCTTCTAGAGATTGCGACTTACTTGAACGTGATTTTATTTTCCCATGTTGATGTAATAAATGCCATCAACAATATAATTGCC